GTATCCTTATCTCAACTTCAGGTCTCTGCTCAAAAATAACGTGTGGGTTTTGGGGTGTTTTCCTCCATACTTTTGGCTTAATTAGACCTAAACTCATCAACCAACTCTCCCGTTCCTAGGGCCTACGAGCTCTCCTGCACACCACTACACGCTTAGTCACTCAGAGCAATGTAGCAATTGTAACAATACGCAGACACATTAAAAGCTGAACGTCCCAGAGACACAAAACTATGCAAGTTTTTTTTTGAAACAGCAAATCAATTTAACTGAAATCAAACAACATGAAAGTAGTCGTGCTGTTTCACAGGAAAACCCCACCCAAACCCCAATCAGGGACACAACGCATACTACACGTTTAACAGCTTCATGTTCTTAAATGCAACTGTGACTCTTCCAACACATGAAAGCAGTCGTGTTGTTTCACAGGAAAACCCCACCCAAACCCCATCAGGGACACAACGCATACTACACGTTTAACAGCTTCATGTTCTTAAATGCAACTGTGACTCTTCCAACCTGCAGACTGACCCATCTTGCCGTTCTCCTCTTAGTTTCAGGCTGGACATTTCCACATCGGAGTTCCCACTTCCACTTATTATTATTAAAGCCCCAAGATACTACACCTTACTGAAAACACAGATCCTTTGGACTGGTTATCAGCAGACACTTCAATCCCTAACAGAATAAAAAACTTGCCTGTAAAGTGAAATGAAGCTCAAGAAATAATTGGGTTTTACTTCAAAGAATACAGAAAAGGCCAATCCACAGCTCTCCATTTCATGAAAAGATAAACCAGAACTACTCCATTCACAGACAGCACATAATAAAGAGAAACAGCGATAAACCCAACCTGCACTTTTCCAAGCTTCAATATTGTTAATAAAACCTTTTGAACCATTTTGCTTTACGTTTATTTTTCATAAATACATTTGTTTTATTTCCAGGTTTGTTGATACAACTGCATAATACAGTAAAACATTTTGTAAATTTAACAGACAGGTATGCTTCACTCGTTGAGACGTAGCTTCAGATTCTCGTGTCTTCTGCATCATCACAAGCGTCCTGATGAAAAGCGTGCTTGTCGTCTTATTCATTAAGAAAAAGGAAGAACAGCTTACACGCTAAAAACTGAAGTATACTGTCTGTGCTGTGCTCTTCCAAAGCAACACAAATAGAAGGGATTTTAAAATAACTGAATTTACTGGGATTTCAGATGAGAAGTGAAAGAACTGAGAGCTGGCGTTTAGCAATGACACCACACAGAAGGGAAAGAGGGGAAGACAGGTAAGCCATTCTGACCTCATTCACCGCCACATAGTATCGCTGCTGCTGGAACCGAGGCGAGTTATCGTTCCTGTCTCTCACCACAATCCGTACTTCGTGGTTGATAATGGTGCCAACCTTTTTGTTAACACACTGCACTTGCACCACGATGGACTGGATGGACGTGGGCGGCTGTAAGCGAAAATACGTTTTTATAATACATAGTCAAAATCTGAACTAACAGTTAAATTTCGACCGATGTTAATAGCGCTGAGGTTCACTTACAGCCCATCAGCCTGCTTATCTTACATCTAACGCTCTATGGATTACAGAGCTTCTCTGAGAGCGTCCCGACTACAACTCGTGCTGGCAGTATTTCAGGGAGACCTACGTGTCTCAAAGCTTATTTTGCAGATGGAGCTTTGCCAGCTGTATGTGCTAATACAGAGGTACAAATCCTCAGCACGATTAGCCCTTCGCATTTCCCTCGGGAACAGCAACAACTACAAAAAAGCACATCTTTTGAACATCTTCTGATTATTGGAAAATACCTAGAAAATGCCACACATTTTAACCTTTGGTTTATTAATATTGGAATTGAAAGGTCAAGTCAGAAATAAATTCAATACGCTACCACTTACATTTACCAAGTAATTTAGAAACAACCCAGTCACTTTTAAGTGTAGACAATCCAATGTCCTGTTCTTTTTACTCCAGTGAACATCATAATATTCAAACAAAAATAACTCCCAGACTTGATGAACAGGGAAAGAAATTTAAGCTGGAAAGGCTACTACTACTACTTACCTGAGTTAACAAAACAATTCTAAGAAGAATAAAGGAGAAAGCACCTTTGGTTGAAATGGAAATTCCAAAAGGCTGCTACGGAAATACAGCATTCCAGCGTGACTTCTATTCACCACGTTCCCACCACAGCAAGTGCCAATTTACATATTTGAAGCCACAGCCTGGCATGTAAACTATTGACAGCAACTCTATTTGGATTTTGTATCTAACACTCAGCAGAGAGCGAGCGAGCATGGGAAGGGACCAAATGAAAAAAAGCTGCATTTATTAACCTCAAAGTCTTCAAAAGAATAAACAACTCAAAGTAATTTCAAGATGCCTATGCCATACTATTCTGTACAGTAAATGCAAACAGGTTTCTGTACTGAGATTCTGAGACTTACAATTATACCGTAATTATCTATGTAATTATGCTTTCGCTCATTCTAAATGCAACCATTTCTTTGATCGGTTTTTTTTCCAGTTTTGCTATAATGGATTTGAGAACCATATGGCTTTCCTCGCCCTTCAGACTTTGGCACTAACCAGTTTTTAAAGAGCCAGACAGCCTGGGGAAAAAAGAAGGGGCTTTACGTTGGTGTTGAGATCTTATGTGAAATATCTATTCTTCCCTCACGTTTACCCACAACTTTCTCTGCAATGAAGTACAGCAGGAACTTTTAACTAAAAGTCCATTCTCCGCTGTAAAAATCTGCAGCCAGCTCTAATGTGGTTTTACTTTTCTCAGTGGAACTCCTAACAGAAGTAGGAACACACCCAATATCATCTGTAGCTTTAATTAAGCCCCTAACATGATAATCTCCATTTATTTTTCACCTTGGCATTCTTTGCAAAACATCCAAGAATTTTTAGGCCACCTTTAATAAATTTCAAATGCTACTGTGTTGATCTAGATTTATCAGCAACGCCCAAGAAAAATGTAATTAGTTGTAATGATAGATGCATAAGTACACGGTGTTCTGGATTTGGTCTTTTTCACAAGAACGTGGGGGAAAAAAATAGTTTGTCACCTTTGGTAAAATATGAGAGAGTATAGGACCAATATTACTTTCACATACATACAATTTCTGCTGGCTCAGTACTTGGATTTAAAATTAGGTCTTTAAACAAACACTCAATCTAGGCATTTATAGACAATAAACGTAAATACAAAATGGCACAGCGTAACAAACTGTTTATGCCCCTGGAGAGAAATTATCCCAACATCTTTTAGCAGTTCCTTTCACCTTCTGTTTTGCTTTATCACAATTCATCCTTTTTTAAGTACTTAAAGTCTGGGAAGAAAAGTCTGGAATTTTCTTTTTATCTGATCTGGTTTGGAAAACGTACTGTCACTCTTAGTAAAATCAATCAATGGAATCTAATAAGATGTTCTTTCAAGAAAAGTAATAAAAAAGAACAGGATCAGGCTAACTGAATCAGCAGAGTTGACAAGCGGGCACATCAGAGAGAAAAATGGGAAGAGCATCCAAATATATGGAATGCAATCGTATATGCACCATTTATGAATCAGAGACCACAATTTTGGCTCTGTAATAAAAAAAATTGAATTTTAAGGTTCAACTTAATAAAACCCAAATTTTTATTGCTACTACTAAGTTTCACATGGTTTTAACTTGAAAGATGAGAAAAAGAGTTTATTTTTTGTTTTTTTTTTTTAAAAAAAAAAAAAAAAAAAAAAAGAACTGCACACAGTCTTGAATGATTTTGCATTTTAGGGGTTTGTCTAGCTCTGGTTCTAAAGCTGGAAATAGGCCTTAGGGTAAGGGCCATATTAATCAGGTCCATGACATAAATTTCCTATTTTTACTCAGTGGGCTTTTTGTTGGTTGCTTTCAATTTCTTTGCCTTGTGACTTGCAGCAATTCATTGACATCACAGAACACACCTATAGCGGGGCTCCCACCAAAAATCTGAATTACCTTAAATCTCAGATTTTCTTTTTATATCCCAGTAAACTTAAACACAAATGAGTCATTTTACCCAGCACTACAGTACTAGGGATAAGAAGTGTTCCAGTTCAGAGTAAAAAAAATGAGGAAATAACCCCTAAAATACCAATGTAAACCCACCAATATTACCTATATATAATTAAGAAAATGTACACTCTCCACTTGTTTCCTTGTGACTTGAGTCTACTTCTTGCAAAGAACATCACCATGAAGTGTCCATACGTATTCATACTAACGTAAAGTATTTGTAAGTTTAGTTAGACTGTTACTAATATCGGAAATCAAATCATTCGACAAGGTTCTTTTGGTAAAGCATCTCGTTAGAGGCTTTTGCCACCCTGTCCCTTCTTCTATGTTCTGTGCTGCATGCCTTTGCTTCACATATCAAACCAGTTTGTGAATTAAAACTAAATTAAGAACAGCTGAATTCAATTAGCTCTTTTAAACTAAAAATGGAAATGAAGAAAAATTTGCATGTTGTTTCTGGTAATTATGAATATATCTTAAAACATGCAGAGAAAAATTAATCAGGCAAATACATATTCCGTACACTCCAAAGAGATCTCCTGATCTTTAAAGCACTCTTTAAAAAAGGTTACAGTCACTTTTGAGTCTGTTTTCCTTTCAGATTCTGATGAACTGCCTCGCAGTGCTGTAACAGCATGAGAAAATGTCTCTATTTTTAAAATGTTTCTCTTCAATGAAATTAACAGAGATGAGAACGCTCCTATTTCTTTTGATCCTTTAATCGCTCTTTTTATAAAATCAAACTTAGCCTGGCAATATTTCTTTAATGCTCTTAGGAGCAAGCAGACCACACAAATTTTACACTGCCTTAAAAAAAAATAAAATAAAGTAGCAAATTCTCAATTTGCTCAATGAATATGTCAAGCTTTATAAGTGAACTGTAATAGTCGCAACGCCTTTGCTCTCTCTCACGTCTCACAAGTCAATGTACACATCTAAAGCAGGCTTTTAATAAGTGTCACGGGACATGAGGTGAGCAACACTTCTCCTCCCAGACACGAGCAGCAAACCAGAATACAAATGTTTTTAATTCAATAAACAAGTTTGGGTCAACGTGTATTTCTGCCAACTCACATATCTATTTATTCAGTCTTTATTGTTGCATTTGTCCACATATTTGTCGTGTGGAAAGGGTGAATTTTCTGCATGTTCCAAATAAGTCCTAATAAAGAATCAAATTAACTCTGTTCACATCCATCTGGGGACAAGAGATAGATGCAGCTACTATATTCTAGCGTGCCTTGTGTTTATGGTCTTCCTGTGAGCATACACAGATTCAGAAATTCAGGTCTATGGGGAGAAAAGAAAATAAACAGCAAATCCCAAACTTACATCTCTGTCCAGAATTCGGCCGGTGCTATTTAGGTATAACCTCTGGCTGATAGGGTCCAGGATCACCCAGTAATCGACGTTGTCCTTCAAGGAGAGTTCGATGGTGGGGTCTGGCCCTCCTGCTGTCCCTTTGATCAGCATATTGTCAACCAGGATTGTGCCTGCAAAAACAATAAACACACCAGGGAGAAATTTATACGGGCATCTACATTTTTATGTATTTTCATAACAACTGCAACACTAAAAATACTGTTTTCTAACTAGACCTTCTGGTATTTTACGTTTTGAGTGATGTTTAAAAATTCTGAACCTTATTATCTGTAATGAAAAACTGCCTCTGACACTGAAGCTATTGCCGACAGTACAAGAAGCAGCACTTGCAACGCACAATAATTTGACGACGAGACCCATGATATACAGCTATCTATTTAACATTACGAGTTTTTTCTCCATTGAGCAATCATCACCCAGTCTCACCTCAAACAAATGAAATCACTGAAATAACAACCAAAACCGGAATAAATTTTCTACAGCAAGAGTGACACATCAAGGTAAGGGGGGGGGGGGGGAAGAAAAAAAGAAAAAAAAAAAAACAGTTACATAAAGCTCTTCAGGAAAAAAAAAGAGGTTTTATACCTTGAGTTGCTCTGCAATAGAAAACTAAATTGCAGTGTAAGGACAGGAAAACTATGTCTACCAAGACAAAGGTAGTACTCAGTTAGGACCAGCCATCTATTCAACATATATAACATGCTCTTTTTATTTTCTTGTCCCATCCTGTCAGTTAAGTGTCTTCCCTAACAGCTCTATTAGTCAGTTCACAGTACCCACGACGTACATCATTTCCTACATCAAGCACTCCAACTTTCCAAATGTCAAGCATTACTACCTACCCTGAACGTTGCACTCTGGTGCCTCAGATTTGCATGCACAGTATTTATAAACACTTCTCTAAGATTTCATTTTTCTGAAAAATTAACACTACCTAGTTTTGCTCACACTGAAATATTAAAAAAAATGATCTTTGCTGAAGTTCATCAGCAGTTACGAAGAAAATCTGTGAATGTCACTAGCTACAGAACATTTAAATGAGTTTAAAATATTTATCGCGTAACCTCCTGTATTAAGGGCCCAAATCATTTATTCCAAAGTGCAGAGTAAAGTTTCCTTACACCTTCACAACAGTGATTCTGTATAAATATATTCATCTGGAGGGGAGCAGTTCTCAGTTGGACGGATGCTTTTTCTGGATAAACCAGTAAAACTAATTACTGGTCTTAACCACAGCAAATTGGTTTCCAGTCCTATTGAGGAAAACACCACAGTAAGGTTTTTTTCAATCGCTTCTTTTGAAACTAGTTCTTATAACACAATAGAGACGACAAGGGAAAAAATATTGCCAAACATCCTTAACTTCTGCACCAAAGCCTGTTTTCACATTAGAGGAGCAATACCCTTTCAGCCACGCGAGAAACCGAGTTGCTACCCATGTGTTTTATGGTGATGAGCACAATTTCTTGTGCGACACCGCCTGTACGATTCCACTCTGACCCAGCAGCTTGTACTGGCATACAACTTCTGAGAGACTGCGACTAGTTTTAACATAAAAAGGATTTCGCCAGGAAAAACAAGCTGATTACCAACCCTGGGACAGTTCAGAGTGTTTATGTCTAGTCACCTATTTCTTTAAAAATCTATAAAATCCACCAGCTCCTGTGTATTGCCCTCATTATTGTGCCTCAATGATGATGCAAAGAAAGGTCAGCAATCCAAATTTGAGGTCATCCGAACAAAAGGTGCCCCAAGAAAAGCCTCCCTGAAAAAAAACACCCAAGAGAACAACCACCACAACCACCTTAACGGCTGCAGTTGTTTTGATTTTTTCCAGTCATCTTGTTCAGACCTAAGTTCTGGCTACATCTTCACCAGCACTAATCCCAACAGAAGGCTCCATTCAAATGGCTCTCAAGGGAAATAAAAATCTGCAATTTCCACCTGTAAACAGCACAGCATTACATGTTTCAGCAAGGGCTACCTGTCCATAGCAAATCCATATGGTGGCATTTATAGAAAATACCACGTGAGCAAATTCTTGCCAGGAAAAGGAGGAGCTTAAGGGATGGAAGAATCGGGGCAACTGAAGTGACCAAATAACACAGAAAAGGGAATAGGAAAGAGTTGTGAAAGCAGTGGAAGAACATACTGCAAGGGATAATTAGAAAACAGGGGGAAAAATAGCAACAGCTCGTGTCTTCTCTCCCACGTTGAAGATCAGTAAGCCCATGAGGAGCAAAGGGGCGTCACAGCACAAGTTACAAGGACACAGAGCTACCGCAGCTGCCCACCAATACACCGCTTTCAGATGCTTAAGCAATCACGACACATAAAGAGGGTTTATTTCTCTCTTCAGAAAAGTGTTTCAAAAAGATTGTCCTATAATGAAAACTAGTCCCTGGTTTCTGCCAAACTCAAGACTGTGAATATAAGCTAACATTAGTAGGTCTTGATTGAAGGGACAGTAGCAAAAGGAAATTACTTTTGGACTGTAGAGAAATCCAGCATATGCAACGGTGCAGGATTTAGACCGACAACACTGGCAGAGCTCTGACTGCTAACAGAATAGTCTGCGGGGCTGTGCCCCGTGACGGTAGCCATTACCCTGCCGTGAACCACACGCAAGCAATCCGAGGAAAAGCCACGTACCTCAAAGGCACGTATGAATTCCTCACGGCACAGCATGCATTTGGAAGTGGCAAGATACAAGGGCCTTACTACCAGAAGCACTTTCTGCATGTTAAGGATTGCAAAAAAAACCCAAAACGAGTAGTATAATTTTAAAATGCAACATCTACATAAACAGGAAAGTGCTGCAAAACAAGTCAACAGTGGCTGTAACAACGTCCTTACAGTGACATACACCACTTATTTTACTACCTGGCATTCGCAGGCGGCTTTGGTTCAGTATAGGCTATGTACACCATGGTTTACTGCTCTTTATCCAAGGAGGCTTCGTCTTCCCTCGCCTAGTTTCTAGAAGATTGACTTCTGCCAAACTCAGCCCTCTGCAAGGGCTAAAGAGCTCAAACAACTGTAATTTTTAATGAATCTGAGAACAAATTATTGCAATTACATACTTTAAAAAATATTTTAATCAACCTAAAATCTTGATGTGATGACAAATTTCGTACAAGCTCCAGTAAAACACTGCTACTTAACTGACCTCACTGCTTTGAATTCTGCATCTCATTCGACATTCCTCTGTTGCACTCCAACAGCTATCTGCTTGATTTAACAAAGCACTTCTGTTGGGTTTGTTTTGATACAGTGATTCTTTTGTTCTTAAAAATGGACTGTTTTTTCTTCAGATATTCATGAGGCGCTTGTACTCTCTTCGCTTCAAAAGACAGCGGTTTGCAAATAAGCCTTTTAATAGCCATCCTTAAAGTATCATTCTTCTAATTTACAAAGAATCTGACATTGTGGGTCTCCCCCCCCTCGCCCCCCCCTTTAGATATCTATCATTTTGTTCCTTATATCTTGCCTCTGCCCTTGGCCTAGAACACCAGGGAGGTAACCTACTAACGATAAATCTGAATACACGCCGTTCGATGGGACTGCATCAACGGTTTGTCCATTAACTCTCCACACATGCGAGCACAAAAGCAAACACATCCCTCCATATTCGCAATGCGCTAACACAATGAGTTTAGACAATTTGCTTGCGTAATTTTTTGCACGACCAGAAGCTCAAACAATGCTCTAGCTGAAGTGAAATCTTCTACCTTGTTCTAAAAGTTACGTTCCTCCTTCTGTAATTCTAGCGCAAGTTCAATTTTACAGTGCTGGGGGGCTGAAGGGTTGGTCAAAGTCTGCGGAGGGCACCCAACAGGACGCTGCCACTCGCGGGGAGGAGAGAGGTGGTCCGTGTAGATGCCTGTTTCACGTACCCAATTTCTGGGCAGTAACACTCAAACGCCCCAAAGTTCAACGGTGTTTCAGCACTGTTCCTTGTGCTGCTGTCCTGTGCGTGCAACCCATCGACAAGGACACCAGGGACTATAATTAGTAGGTATTTTTCCTGGGTAATTAAGACTGATGTAAAAGTTAGATGTAGATTTTAAGAACAGCTTTTCATCTCGTGTGGAGACAGCAACTTGGCTGCTTTTCCACCTTCACTGAAGCCTGATGACCACCGAGATGTCTTGTGGAAAGACCACACAGATTTTTCAAGTGATTAGTACAGAGTAAGCCTCAAGGAATCAAAGTCAAGCAAGTTGCTGGCTAAAAAAAACTACAAAAAAAGCCAGAAACCAACAGACTATACAAGAGGGAAAAGATACGTTATTTTCAGGAGTAATATAACTTTTCTGAAAGTAATGATATTTACTCAGAAGTGTTATCTGAGCTTGTTGAGAATTATTCAACAAGTAGCTCCAAAACAAGACAACAAAAATAAAAATTATACACTGCTGTAAATACGATAACAATAGCTCTACACTAGACTATTCCTTTGAGAGGAATCCAGAAGCTGAAAGTCTTCATTAGACTGAAATAATAGGGAAGGGCTTGCTCGTACAGATCAGTCTCTGCAGAAAGTGATCTTTCGATGGGAAGGGCATTACGAGGGACTTGGGTGCAAAAGCTGTGAAATATGGAATTTGCAGTTTATGCTCTACTAAAGACAGCAGACACGCAATGCTCACTGAGGACTCAACTTATTAAATGATTTAGATGCATCTTGGGATTGTTTTAGTTGAATGTTTTGGTGGAGCCCTTTTTTTGAGTGAATTACGACTGGTCTGGGACTAACCCTTATGCTGGCACATGAATCAGAAAACAGGATTCTAGTAGAATAAAACCTGCAGCCCTTTTAGGAATTAAAAGGCACCTGCGGTTTCTCTTTTTGCAGTCGCTGACCTCTGGGCACATGGAGCGTGTCCCACCTCCCCAGTGACACTATTAAAGGGGTGCACCAGGCAAAGGCTTAACTTCGTGGGACCAAGGACCTCACACATCACGCATGGCCAGTCCCAGCGACATCGCAGAGACGTACCTAACTGCAACCAATTCAGCAAGCCGTATTTACGCGGACACGCAAAATACAAATTGGACAGACCTTACTCTCACGAGGCTCTCGTACACCGCAACGGCGTGTAGCCTT